GTCAGATACTTCTTCTATTCTTTTATTCTTTTTCTTGGCGTATTTGGGTCATTCTAGACTTGAACCAGAGACTTCTCCCGTGAAGTAAATTATCGCAGCTAAGATCCAACCAATTGGAAGAGAATCAATAGATTCATTTTCGGGAGCGATTCATCCTTCCTGAACGCAGCTATATCCCGTGTTGCAGTTTGATCATTTGATAAATTTTTATAAAAAATGGAAATTTGGAATGCAAGTTCAACTTCCCCAACCAAAAAGCATAAAAAAAGTGGTAAATTAATTAAAAGCCTTCTAGATTTATTTATTTATTTATTTTCTTTTATTTACTTATTTATTTATTATAAATTTACCTCTTGAATATTTTTATATTCACTTGCATTGTATTACAAGACACATACTAGTCAAATTAGGTCATTCCAAACTTCCACCCAACAAAAATGTAAAAATTCAAAAATTTCCCAAATTTTATTATATTTTAATTTTTAACCCAATATTCCATTTTTATATATTTTTGTAAATATATAATAATTTTAATTATTGCATCTTATTTCACCTAAAATTATTTAAATTTAAATATATAAATTACATCATAATTTGATTATGCTATAGAATAAAATGTATTTTTCCAAACATAATTATGAGAAATTCGAAATACATATCAAGCATAATTAAAAACGATTAAAAAATGTAAATTTCTCTAAAATTTCTTCGACCGATTTTGAGTTTGATTTCTGCAAAGAAACCCTTTTAAAACCACTAATTTCTTCTTAAACCCTTCCGAATATGAATCTGATTTAAAAAATTGAAGTGTATCATAATCTTCAACGATTGACCTTAAGCTCGTAACCATAACAATCCAAGCTGCTGTGCATAAAATGGCACATAGTCTTCCCCACACTATCATGATCACCAACGTTATCATCAAAATTGACATTCCCGCCATCGATCTGTACCTTTGCTTCATCTCGCTGTTGTTTGGCTTTAACCTGACCTGCATACTCGCCATCGATTCCTTGACCTGGTTTATGCGAGGAAGGTTGAGTGATATTGTGGGTGACTGCAGGTTGGTGGATTTTAGATTCTTTTTCGTCGTCGGTGAGACAGGTTGAGCGAACCGACCTGATCGAAACGACTCGAGTTTTCGAGTAAACGAGAATCTTGATTCACTTCGAGCGCTAAGTTTTTTTGGCGAGTTCAACTGCTCGCAATTTTCACGAATAATTTTTTCTGGAAGGATGTCATTTTTTACCTAAAATAAAATTAAAATTTTAATGTCACTCTAAATAAATTTTAATTTTAGACAACATTAAAAAAATTTCCAAGCAAATTCACATACATTTTCTGGCCTCGTGACAATCTCCCCGCCGGCTCGATTTGTCGCCACCGGCACCGCGACGGTAAAATCTTCATTCGAGTTAAAAGCGGCGGTCGGAGAAATAGATTTTGAGGAGAGCCGGTCGGAATCCGTATTAGACAGGTTGAACTGAACCGACGGCGACGGCGGCGGCTGCTTGGAGTGAAATCTCATCCAAGAAATGGGACCTTTCCGGTGAGCGGCGGCAGGTTTGAGAGGCTTAAAGCGACGGTGCTTGCCGGAAAATCCAAAGCAGCAGAGGAAAGGGTGAGGGTTAGATTTGGAATTTGGGGATTTGGCCATGGAAGCGTGAGAAGGTTTTTGGCATGGGAGTGCCTTCAAGACCACCATCGCTTCAAGATATATGCGTGTAGCTGTACAAAAGCCATGGCGTTTGGTGGGGTCCATACATGCTGACATGTCAATTATCGTATTTTGTAACTAAATTATTTTATCAAATAAAGGGTGTGAAAATCTTTACTTAATAGACGCCTTTCAAAATTGAGACTGATAGCAATATGTTACGGACCAAAACAGACAATATTTGTTAGCAATGAATTTCTTTTATTACAAATCATATTAGAGCTAGACACTTGGCGGTTTGCCACCCATGATGGTGATACGCAACGAGCCGAAACGAATAATATCTGTTTTGTTGTTAATAAACCTATAAAATACCATTTAATTTTAACTATTAAATTTTTTAATTTCAAATTTACGACATTTGATATAGATTTTATAAAATACTTTCAATCGAATAGTTTGAAGTGTGTGACGAAAATTCAAATATCCGATCGGATCGAATCAGTTAAGTTAGATATATTATAAATAATTAATTTGAAAATATAATATAATAATTAATAGAAAGAAATAAGATATTTAAGTATGTATTTTGGATGAGCGTTGAAGCGCGTGGAGAGATTTTGCAAATTAAAGCTTTGAATGGGAGAGAACGTGAGGGGGAGATGTGACTCCAAATAAAGCTCTACAAGTTTGGGGATTCGTCGTGAATCCCATGACTCTAAACCTTACCCATCCTCCTTTAATTTTAATTAATACAATTCCTTTTTTTTTTTTCATTAAATATTTTCTTTTTTTAATAATATATTTTTATTTGACATTGTTGGATGATGAAAGTCCCAATGATCATGGGTTTATAAGTGAGGAATACTAACTCCATTGGTATGAGGCATTTTTGGGAAGCCCAAAACAAAACCATGAAAGCTTATGCTCAAAGTGGACAATATCATACCATTGTGGAGAGTCGTGTTCGTTTAACAGACATTACTCAGTCTTCTGAAGTTAGAGGTTCTACATGTACTACAATGGTCGGGACAAAGAGCCATGATCCTATGAGGATGAATTGACTCAAAACACTCGTCGTATGTAGTTATTATAAGAAATCAAGATCATACATAAAAATAAATAAATAATGGGCTAGAGTTAAACTAATTTGAGGGATATAAACTAATTTTTCTCTTTATTAATAAATAATAAAAAAAACTTATTTTTTCTTAAAAAAAAAAAAACCAATGGGCTAGAGTTACCAGAAATTCATACCATACACGTTGGGCCCATAATCATAATTGGGCCAAATATTTGGGCTTGTAATAGACCGTGGGCTAAAGTGATCAGAAATAGGGCCCATAATCGGACTGAAATGTCCATAGTTATTCAAGTATAAAAGAGGAGGAATTTTATGATTCTGTTTGATTGCCGATTAGGGTTTCTTCATAGAGGTAGTGTGAGGTCCAGGGCCCATCATGGTAATCTTCCTTCCAACGTATTTTGCTGTTTGTTTGGATTTTCTCACTCATTTCATGATTCTATCCTTCGTCTGGTGATCGGAATGACTGAAGGTTGTTCTTCGTTTTATAATATATTCTATTTGATTCCGAACGATGGAAGCTAAAGCCTCGCAAAATTCTTGTACTCTAGGATAATGGATTGATGAATATCGGAATTGTTTTTGGTTTGAAAATACCTTCTAGAGTTGTTTATTGGCATTTATGAAGGGCGTTGTTGGTATGTAAGAATGTTATGCTGTTCCTTGCAGTGTGAGTTCTTCTTGTAGCTATGTTGAATTTTTAGGATTGTTAATGCTGTAGATTTGGTTTTAGTAAGTTGAGACTCGATAGACTAGGTATGGCATTGTAGATTGACTATGAAATTCACTCAAGAATATGTTTGTAATTGTCTTCTCTATTCAAGCATTTTTTGCGCGTTGTTCCGAATATGTTCTCTACAATAATTTCTGTATAATAATTTTATGTTTCATGTAGAGTTTCTAAAGTATGATCTTATTATTCTTTGTTTCTTCTCTGAATGATATTCAACTCTTCTGCTAAACAGGTGAACGTTCCCAAGACAAAGAAGACTTACTGCAAGAGCAAGGAATGCAAAAAGCATACCTTGCACAAGGTTACCCAATATAAGAAGGGTAAGGACAGCCTTGCTGCTCAAGGGAAACGTCGTTACGATCGTAAACAATCAGGATATGGAGGACAGACCAAGCCCGTCTTTCATAAGAAGGTGAAAATCTCTTTCCATGATCATTGATCTGTTCAACCCTAAACCAGATTTTGTTTATTTTCCTTGAATACACAATCATGAGAGTTTAACTTTCCTTCCAGGCCAAAACTACGAAGAAGATTGTTCTAAGGTTGCAATGCCAGGGTTGCAAGCATGTGTCACAGCATGCCATTAAGGTTTGTATTCAAAGCAAATTTCTCATTCATTGGCGTCTCTTATTTTAGTTGTCCTTGAGTATGGTTTTCATTAATGCATACCTTATATTTGTTTGCTACTGCAGAGATGCAAGCATTTTGAGATTGGTGGTGACAAGAAGGGAAAGGGAACTTCACTTTTTTAGATTCATTAACGTTGTCATTCACCATGTTTTGCTGTCTAGGGAGTCTAAATTGTGGGTTTTTTATTTTTTGTTTGGTTGCTCTGATACTTGGGAACACTTTTACACATTGAATTTTGTTTAATGTACCAGTTTATAGTGGAACAACTAGGTAAGCCTCTACCAATTTAATGTATCACTTGTTTTGCTGTCAATCAGAAGCCCTTCTATTCACTTTTATTAGTTCGGTTATTCAATTGTCTCATTGTTTTTGAAAATGAATTTGAGTTTTTCTCGCGTCTTGCTACACGACACGAGTGATGAGTGAAGTTGAAGCAATAAGGTGTTCGGAAGCTCCACCGAAAGAGAGGAAATCAAACTCGAATAGGGATCAGTAGTAGTGTTGCATGGTTGGTTCCTTTGTTGTCGTCGAAGAGATCTTGGTGAGGGGCATGCTAGCAGATTTGCAATGTAGCAGCATAACGGCTGGATTATTGTAGGGATTACTTCCGAATTTGAGAGGGCAAAAACAGATTGAAATTACCAACGAAATCAAAATAGAGCCTTTTCTTTGGCTCGTCTCCTTCTGCACATGTACTTAGTATAGTTGCCTGACCGTATTGCCTCATCCACAGAAATGACTTTTATTAATAAGGCAGAAATATGGTTAATTAGGTGGCAATTTGCAGGCGCTTCCTTATGAAATGAGCTAATTGTGGCAGTAATGTTTTTAAATAAATTGATGTTCAATCGTGCTTAAAATGGTATGAAGGGGTGTACATGATGAATTTCCCTCACATAGATTACTCCAAATTTCTGGGTTTTGTTCAAAATCCTTGCTTGAAATCACAAATAAACAAGGCTTAGATGATTGAGCTGCACAAGCGCTAGATCGATCTGTAAGTAAATATGGATGATTATCAATCCATTGAAGCTTTGTACCTAGTTGTTGACCTTGGCAACCCATCAAATATCGACTTAGTGACCATTGCAGTTGAGAGTGCTTGAAGATCTGTTTTCAAACTCCAAGATGTAGACCACATGGATGAGGAAGAGTTACCTTTTTCTGTGTCCTGCAAATTACATGTGCTTGATGATCTTCTTCCACCAATCATCATCCCATTACTACTACCCATAAACGAGCCTCCTCCCACATCATCTGTTAAGATGGGTGTCAATTTACTCACTTCAGTAACCCCATTAGATGTAGCATTGATTCTTGAACCCCTATCCAGTCTCACATCCAAGTTCTTCGTTGTCATTGAAAAACTTTCACCATTGCTGATGTAAGTCTTGTTCAAAACGCTATCGGCTGCAATGGAGAAGTCCGCCATGGATTTCTGGCGTCTCCTCACCAGTTTTTCACTCCCTTTGGTCGAGTCGATTGCTCCGTACGGAGCGGAAATTATATCGGTGAATTCAACGTTTTCAAAATGAAAACCATCTGCAAAGCTTCTTGATTTTCTATGGCGGTTTTGATGAGGATTATGAGAGGATGCCAGCATGGGATGAGTAGTAATAGTAGTAGTGCCCCCATGGTTGAATTCCCCTTTTCTGTAGGCAGTGGTTTCACTGGTTGTTGGAATGTTCGCATGATGAGCTTCCGAAGGAGCCTTGAGTTTGGTGGATTTGATTCTCAGTGATTGGAATGAGTCCAACAGATTAAAGGACATGAACCGAGTTGCATTTCGCTCACAATTACTGTTCCTGTAGAAGCTCACACATGAGCAGAGATATTACGGGGAATATTATATGCATATGAATACCCACAGCAAATAACTAAACTTCAAAGCAAAATCATGCAACCTAATTAATTATATAATTGTTTTCTGTGGTGGGTACTCCAATTTAAGTCTTTTATCAACCGGTTACAAGTTGAACTATGCCCAAATTAACAAATAAGTAACAAATGTAATTAAGGATCAACTCGAGTGAGTGGCACGAGGAGAATTAACTTTACTAAGTACTAGAGTGTGAATGTGAGATTTTGGAGAATGAAACGAATCATTCTTTATAAGAGTATGAAACCTCTCCGTAGCACACATTTTAAAACCTTGAAGGAAACTTGGAATAAAAAGCTTAAAGAGAACAATATTTGCTAGTGGTAGACTGGGGCGATTACCGAACAATATTTGCTAATCGTGAAACTCTCAACATAACAATGAAGCAGTTTACACTATTCACGTATGAAACCAGAGAAAACAAACCTGGAAATGTCAAGATCCTTGGAAAAGTGAGGAGAAGGGAACTTTCCAGGAGTTGGAATCTGTAAAGATTTAAGAGCAAACATTTGATGGTCTGTAACCAATGCATTCATTCTCTTGATGTCCGAGACCTAATATATATACATAATTATGTCGTTACAAAACGCATAAAACATATATGATAGATTGTGATCGGAGTTGAGGGTAATCGTGATATGATAAATCATGAGAAGCAAAATTTTTTTTGTAAAACAATTTAAAATTTGAAGTTCTACTTATTTTAGGTATTACTTTCTGCATTTAAATCCAGAATATGTGAACAACTTCCTCCAATTGTCATATGTAGATCAACTTAAATCAACAAAGCAAGACACGAAAAGAAACGAACAAATCAACAATAAACAATCTCAGAGCATAATTACCTCGACGCCGTACTTGATGGCAATCCCGGCAAGAGTATCGTACTTTGAAACAGGGTGCTCGATGAAGCCGACGCCTGAAAACAATGAAATCGACGACAAATCTGTAGAGCTCGGTTCATCGATGTCCATGTTATTTTGCGTCCGATTCATACCACCGTTGCTATGAAGAAGATTGCAATCACGATTTTCGTCGTAACTTCCCCTTCCTTTTTCCATCCGCTCCTCTCAAATTCACCATCCAGAATCCATTGATAAACAGAACGAGGTGAAAAAAAATGAGATCTAGAATAAACAGAACGAGGATTTAAGAGGAACAATAATCGCGTGCGTCATGGAAGAATTTTCAAAACTAGCAGAAAATGGAAATCGAGAGATCGCTCAACGTATTCTATAACTTCTTTAGGATAAATGTGGCAAAATCCTCGAAGAATTCATTTGGATCAACGTCGTCCCCAAATTTTCCGGGAAAGAGAAAGAAACTAACCTCATTTTCCTCCGTTCATCTCCAATCACAAACGAATTTCATGCACTTACATTGCACTCTTCCATCGAATTCAACAAAGATGAGATTGGAGAACTCAGAAACTTCTAGGATTTTCGACTCATCTGATTATTTTGTTGTGTTCACCAGAATTGCGATTCAGCAATGGCGTAAAATTTTCCCGCGCCCTTTTTATATGTTTGGAAATCAATGTTGGTTTTAAATTGAACGACGCAATCCAAGCCTCATATTTGGCAATTTTGTAAAATTAATTTATTTTTAGTATTTAAATTATTTAAATATTTTAAAACTGCAAATTACACCAATGAAATTTTAGAAGAACTTACCATTAAAATAGTCAATTAGCCATTTGTGAAGGTTATAATATATAGCAATGGCTATGCTTAAAAAAAGTAAAAACATTATTTTATTCAAAAATATTTTATAATAATATTAAAATATAAATATTGAATTGATAAAAAAAAAATACCCTTATTTTATATGGAAATGGAAATCATTTAAACCTATTTAAAAATATTTAAAAAATACTCTTAAATTTTTAAAAGTTTAATTAAAAAAAGTTTCAAAATGCACCTTTAAATTTTTTAAAAAGAAAATTAAAGAATACTCTTATGGTTGATATACGTTTCAAAAATGCTTACCCAAAAATTAATTTATCTTAATCAGAATAATCTTAAGAAATTGTAAATATTAATTTGTTAAGAATTAATCAGATTGAAGCTATAACATTATCATTCGTTGGAAGCGAAATATTTGCAAGATTCGAATCACATATCAATTAAACATATAGTTGGAATTCCCAACGTGATACATTCTTGAAGAGCTCGATAATTTTCTTGTTGATCAACGATTATTACAATATCGGGTAACCCCGTCATATATTTAATCCCGCCCAGATATGTTTGCAAGTGAGATAATTGTTTCTTCAACATAGCGGCATCTCTTTTCGGAAGACGGTTGAGTCCCCCCGTCTTTTGTTCCGTTCTCAAGTCCCTAAACTTATGAAGTCTCATTTCGGCAGTAGACCAATTTGTTAACATCCCCCGAGCTATTTTTAATTAACATAATGACTCCGAGCCCTTGTTGCAGCATGAGCTATTGATTCCGCTACTTTATTTTAAAATTAAGTTTGGAGATAATCTATAATTGATACAGCCTTTCAAGTTTTGATTTCTATTGGGGAATTGAAATGTACAGTAATGTTCTATAAAAATCAAAGGACAAAAAAACATCTACAACTTCCAAATTCATCATTGTTGAATGGGCATATGAACAAGTATACATTTAAATTACAAATATTAACAAGAATGAAAACTATATACGAAATTGACTCTTTTTCGAATGAAAGCGTCTTCAGAAATGCAAAAAACGAGGAAAGATACGAAACTGGGTAGTATTAGTACCTCATCCCATCATCCAAAACAAGAATGCAGCTATGATTTAATGATACAAAATTTCGATCGCAAGCATCATATAGAATCTGATTCTGTAACCTGAGTAAGAACAATGTCGAAAAGTTAATGTCGAAAAGTTAAGGCACGGTTTGATAATCATTTGGTTTTGAAGTTAACCCTATAAACATTACTCCCACCTTTCAGTTCTGTTTTGTTGTCTAAAGTTTAGGAGTGTTTTCAAAATCAAAGCAAAAATTTGAAAAAAACAATAGAAAAATAGAAGACAAAATCAAACAGATCCACATCACAATTAAAATGAACATTTTAACACTGTGCTCCAAATTTCAATTGATTATGGCCAATAATTTTTCTTCTTTTTCCAAGTAGGAGAATTAAACAGTGACACCAAATGGCTAAGAGGCTATGATAAAGAAAATTCAAAGAGAAGCAGGAAAAGGGGGATATGTACTAATTACCGAGTAAAATCTCAAGCTTCAACCAAGATATTGAAGTAACACCCCGTCATTTCCGAGCACAAAGCCTTTCTTATCGTTTATAAACCTGCGGAGATGTATATAGATTAAAATCGAAAATTTGCGAAAGTAAAACGAAAGTACAGAATTCATGCTCACTACTAAACTCATCGCCCTAAATTTCTTTGGCAAAATTATAGTACAATTGCATTGAATTTGCAGCCTGATCGGAAGAGTTAGGCTTTTCTTGGCAACACAACTTGATATTATTCTAATGCCAAGTGTGAGAAAGCGCTTCAAGTGTTTTAAAAAAATTAATATTGTTTTCAAGTATGTACTAAGCACTATAAAGTTTCTGAAAAGTGCTTTTAAACATGTTAAGAACATTTTCACCTCCCAAAATTGATCCCAAACTCACCCTGAAATACCCTAAAGAAGAAGCAAGGTATAGATCTAATAGACCAAGCCCACCGATAGCAGATATTGTGAACGCTGGATCTTCAAAGGGGTAGATTGTGAGATCCCACGTCGGTTGGAGAGGGGAATAAAACACTCCTTATAAGAGTGTGGAAGCATCTACCTAATAGACGCGTTTTAAAACCTTGAGGCTGACGGCGATATGTAACGGGCTAAAGCGGACAATATTTGCTAGCAGTGGGCGCAAACTCCCTTGGACTATTACAATGGTTCTTCTTCTTACACTTTATTCATCAGAGGGAGACAGCCATTGAAAGAGAATTCATAAAGGGATGATCTATGAAGTAAGCACTTGAATTGGAGGTAGTTTCAAATTTCAAAAATTGTAAAACTCAAGTTTACAGGATGATCATACTCACTTTACAGAGTAAAGGTTGGCTGCAATATTGTCAGCTGCTTTATCACGGGTCCATGTCCTGCCACCATTTGTAGTTTTCAGAAGTACTCCACTTCCTCCAGCTGCCCAAGCCTCTTCCTGTACAGCACGTGTAATAAAAAACTAGATAATCATATTGTGGCTTCTGTCTGGCCCTTCCCTTATGTAATTGTTTATGCAAATCAACGAAATTCATTAAGTTCAGCCTCCAAGAAGGTCAATTTTAGTTATTTACATCAAAGAAATTTCATATTTCTATATTAATCACAATATTAGCAGAAGTCTTCAAGTATGAATGCAGACGCACAAAAGTATAGGCATGTCATGATCTTAAAAGATTACCTGTGAACGAAAACCAACATCTAATATGCCAAAACCTCGGCTTTGAACTGGAACTTCTTCAAACTCCTCACTGATCTGTTATATTAAACATATTGAATCCAACAAGCAGATAATATATAACATGAGTTGGCTGAGAGGTCCAGTTGAAATTCTGGGAAGTAACAGTGTAGATGTATCCTATACAATGACAGTCTAGAACTTACTTGTCACTCTATTTTCAAGAAAATAATGAATATGATGAAAAATTAGTTCAGTTCAAATGCTATGTTTTCATCATTTTGATTAAGAAAAAAAATTCTAATAGAAGCAAATCTGAAAAACATCGTGTTTATAGGATTCCACTATTGAGTTATTATGCAGCCAAAAGCCTAAAGCTCCAACCTCATATACAATATTCAATGCTTGAGTAACTAGTAGGAGAAAAAGGAAACGATTCTTGCTAAAGGTAAAAATCAAACCATACTGCAACTGTAAACCATTCTTCATATTTCCATTAGGATGGCTGGACGAGAAATGCAAATAAACGGTCACAACTTTACTTACCCCTGTCCCTTTACTAAGAAAAAGTCCTCCTCCACGAACAAGAAGCCAAAGACCACCATCAGCTCTCCACCCCATATTCTGAATCCTCCTTGCAATAGCTCTATTATGTGGCTGCCAGAATGGCTGGCATTGCAAATAAAACCAAGTATTTAAGTCGTACAAATGTGGCGATTAATCCCCACAAGAAACTCATCACTCAACAGTTTATTTAGCAGGAGCAAACTGCCTTCACAACCAGTTGAAAGCAATACACTTGGAAGTAGAGAGACAAAGAGTAAAGAAATACAGAAGTTAAACCTGCCCAGGCTCCCAGGTGAGATAGAAGTTACCACGACTTGAAACAGCTACATAACGCCCATCAGGAGAGCGATTGACGGTGTTAAAGGTTCCAGTATAATAGCTTGCACCACTTATACCACTAGAAACGGTTCTGAAAAAGGTAAAGAAACCACATTAGCATCTCATAATCGGGATTGAATTTTTTTTCTTTTAATGAGCTAAACTAGTGAACTGTGGCCCATGATTCCCTGCCACAAGCAGCCAGTAAAATCTTATCAGTTATCAGTCTATGAATTATTCCATGATGATTTCAAGGTTAAATTCTAAACGAGGCTTTGTCTTAAACACAAATAGAATAGAAAATTCTCTCCTGCCGAAGCTCACCTATTAAGAGTGGCAGAAACAGTCTCCTGAACTGCAGCCTTCCAGTTATAACCCTTGTTTGATGTAACATAAATTGCACCTTCATCAGTAACCATCTCTGCACTTTTTTCTCCAGTTGCTTTAATGTAGACCTGAAGGTTTTATAGTAGAATGACCCACTTTAGAGTTTAATATAAGCACTTTCAGGCAGAAAAGAACAGATTAATTTAGACCCGTAGATATATTTAAAACAATCAAAATTTCCATCTTAATTTGTAATGAGAGCATGTAACAGCCCAAGCTCACCACTAGCAGATATTGTGCTCTTTGGACTTCTAAAACGCGTCTGTTAGGGAGATGTTTCTACACCCTTATAAGGAATGTTCCATTCCCCTCTGCAACAAATGTGGGATCTCACACGCATTTTTTTTTGTTTTGTTGGCTGTGAGTAATAGATTCATGCTCCTATGGTCTTAACTTACATAGCGACATTACATGAGCATTATAACTACAATTGATAAAGAAAAGGTTAAAGCGGATCATTCAACCGACCAAGCATTTGAGGATAGTCCAAAAATAGAACAAACTAAAATTCAAGCATGGTCATATAATAACAATTCCTAGTCGAAGATATGAAATAGTAATTTACCATATCTCCAGGAAGCTGGGCGCTAAGAGGTATCCTTTCCCAACTTTCTCCAGCATCCGAAGTGTACAACAGAATTGCAGGCTTGCCAACAATCCATCCTTCCTTTCCTTTGAAGCTAATAGCATTAAACCGGTAGTTAAAGTCTTCTTCTTCAGCCGAGGGTATTGAACGTGGAGCCCATGTTCTTCCACCATCTTTCGTCTCTAAAATGGTTTGCCTAGTCCCCAAAAGGAAGCCTGCATTGGTCTGTAAGTGTCAAATGATTTCATGGCATATTATTGGCGAACGAGAAATTACAAATTACAACAGTCAGGAGCCTTTACAAAATCCGTAAGCCCGAACAATGTAGATAAGAACATATGAACAAAAAATGAACATCAGAAATTTCTTTCCACAAATTCAGTGTACAAATGCTCATAAACTCCAGATGTTTCCAACGACTAATTACAATGAGCAGTGAGCTCCCAAATTGCGACTCGAAAAAAACGGAGCAAAAGAAAAACAAATACAAAATTCTCGTGCATTTCTTAATCAATGAACAATCAGGAAAAAGAAAACCAAAGCAATCGAAACTAACCACGGTCCAAATCATCGGGCACAAAAGCAATGTCGAGAAGGACAACACCAGGATCTATAGGAAGGTAAAGTCTCTCCCACTCCGATAGAGATTCTTCAGACTTCGCCGGTGGTACGGGAGTAATAAACGGAGAAAGCGACAGAGAGACCGTGGCCGCCGTCTCAGCAACAAACTGGCGGCGATTGATGGAAGAATTCTGAAGAGAGGCTTTGGGAGTGGTTGAAGAGAGGGAATGGCGTGGAGAGGAGGAAGCAAAGAGAGAGGAGGACCATGAAGGTTTGAGGAGTTGTTGCAGAGTCGCCATTGTAGAGAAAAGGAAAGGAGCAGAGAAGAGTTGGCCGACCTCTTATCTCTCACGTTATCCAAAACAAATTCTCTCAACGGCTTCGCGGGTGATTTTGAAGCGTCTTGAAACGCAAATAGATAATTTTTTAATAATTAAATTTTAAAAAGAAGAAAGCACAGAGCATATGGGGATGTAGCTCAGATGGTAGAGCGCTCGCTTAGCATGCGAGAGGTACGGGGATCGATACCCCGCATCTCCAAAATCGCTTTTATTTTTCTCGAAATTGTTTGTGAAAAGAGTTTTTCGCTGGTTTTACCATGGAAATTATATTAAAATTCATAAAATTTGAATTACAGAATTCTTGGAAAATTGTGGGCATTTTTCGAAAATTTAAATAACGTGAATATTAAAAAAGAAGTGAGAAAATAAATAATTAGATAGAAAAAAAATTAAAAAATAGTGAATTTTGATCAGATTTACTTAAAAAAATGGTCAAATTTAAAGGTAAAAATTAGCTTTTCTCCTAATTAAAAATAGCTATTGAAGACTTATTTATATATAAGAAAGTAAAGTGGTTAATACAACAAAAACAAGGAGATTTTGAGCTTTATTTTTAATGAAATTAAATAAAAAATAGTTACAAATTACTTATAATTGACTTAATTATGAAATTTTAAATTTTAAATTAGACGATTTAATCTCAAAATTTGAATTTGGAGGTAGAAATTAATATTTGCTAAAAGAAAATAATGATCATAACAATATTACATATTTTATATATTTTTGAATAAAATCCTTGTTTATAGAACTAATAGTAGCTAAACCAATTTAATTATTATTTTCCAAATTTTAAGGGTAGTTGACCTTAACCTCTTAATTTTAATAATTTAAAATTAATTGAAAATTTTACATTTATGACATATTTGATTTTTTTTTTTTTTTTTTTTTTTTTTTTTTTTTTTTTTTTTTTTTTTTTTTTTTTTTTTTTTTTTTTTTTTTTTTTTTTTACTTGAACATAGGTTAAATTATATACATTCAATTAAGGTGATTAAATCTCTGTCAAATAAAATAAATAAATATTTTTCTTTTATTATTATTATTATTATTTTGAGAAAGTACACGTACTTAATTTTGGTTAGTTAGATAAGAACTTAAAATATTATTTTATTATTTTTATTTTTTTTTAAATTTATAAATCACACGGTCTTCTCCTGTCCCCCAATCAAAAAACACATAAGCCGCCTAACATTCCATATCCAAAGAACCAAAAGGGAAAATATATATATACACACGCCTTTGGATTTTATTCCAAATTCCCAATAAATAAATTAATATTGCTTCCAAAAGTCAGATCACAGTCAACGATGGAAACTCCATCAAAACAGTCTTGGCTCAATGGACGGTCCAGATGAAACGGCAGACCACAGTTCCACATAATTTAAAACCACAAATAAAAAATGGCCGAAACGACACTTCATATTTGCGCCCCACTAAGTCCAATTCCGAAGAAACGACGTGAGGGCCTTGATCCGACAGTGTCGTAAAGCTTCCCTTCTTCTTCTTCTTCAACAACGTGAAGGCTACCACTAAATAAATAAAAAAAATTCCAATTTCGATTATAAAAGACAAATGAAAATTTGAAATCTGCAAAAATAACAAAAAGAAACTCAGACGATCAAGCCGAGTGTCTTAAAATGATGCCACGCGGTTACTTATTGGCTTTGGTCGCCGCCGTGCTCTGTTTTGAAGCCGCCGCCGGTGACTTCAACTACGGCGATGCTGTGGATTTGAGTTTCTTGTATTTGGAAGCGCAAAGGTCCGGTAAACTTCCGGCGGACCGCCGTGTTAAGTGGCGGGGGGATTCTGGTCTTAAGGATGGTCTTGCACAAGGAGTAAGTTTTCCGGCCATAAAATTGGTTTTTATTTAATTTAATTATCTTCTAAATATGGAAATTAACTTTATATTAACAGGTGAATTTAGTGGGAGGGTACTACGACGCCGGAGACAATGTGAAGTTCGGGCTACCAATGGCGTTCGTGACGACAATACTTTCATGGGGAGCCATTGATTTCAAGAAGGAAATTACAGATCTGAACCATATGGACAACGCTTTGAAGGCCATTAAATGGGGCACTGATTACTTGATCAAGGCGCACCCTGAGCGCAACGTGCTTTGGGCACAGGTCGGCGATGGCGCCTCCGATCACTTCTGTTGGCAGCGCCCCGAGGACATGTCCACCCCCCGAACAGCTTACAAGCTCGATGAGTCCCATCCTGGCTCCGACCTCGCCGGTGAAACCGCCGCCGCCTTGGCCGCTGCTTCCATTGCTTTCAAATCTTACAACTCTTCCTATTCCGATCTCTTGCTGGTTCATGCTAAAGAGGTTCGATCATTATCCCCTCTGCTTTCTTTCGGTTTCAAACTCTTCTTTCTGTTTCAAACTCATGATTAGTGGGTTAGGAATCATAAACCTCTCCGTAGTAGTTTGATATCGTTTATGGAAATAGTGTTCATTATTTATAAACTCATGATTTTTCTCCGTATTAGCCTACCTTGGATTACTCCTCTCAATAATCCTCAACAATCCTCCTCTCGAACATAATACACTATAAAGCCTTTCCTTGAAGCCTCTTTCTTTGAAGCTCTTGAACAACTTCATTTTAATCGAGGTTTGACTTTTTTGTAGAGCTCTGGAACAAAGTGCACCATTTGTTCGACATTTGAGCAGCCCTTAATCGAGACTTGACCCTTTCTCTATAGCTCTCAAACAAAGTAGATCATTATTCGACATTTGAATCATCTTTGATTGCACCTTAAAAGGCCCGAGTTAAGAGCATGACTTTGATATCATATTAAGACTAACCTCTAAAATGATATGATATTATTCACTTTGATCATAAACTTTTAACTTTGCTTTTAACTTCTCCGTAACAATAAAGATATTATTCATTACTCGTGACAATAAAGATATTATTCATTACTTGTAAACTCATGATATTTTCGTTTGGTTTCAGCTTTTCACATTTGCAGACACGTTTAGAGGATTATACGATGATTCGATCCCATGTGCTGCTGACTTCTACAGTTCATCTGGATATTGGGTAAGAAATAAAATTTGAATTCCTCTTTCCTCTGGTTTTTCAATTCCTCATACGTTTTATTTACAAAATTGAAGGATGAACTGCTGTGGGCGGCGGCGTGGTTGTTCAGAGCCACCGGAGATGAATATTACTTGAAATACACGGTAGATAAAGCGGTGTCGTTCGGTGGAACTGGATGGGCAATGAAGGAATTCTCTTGGGACAACAAATACGCCGGCGTTCAGGTTCTTCTAACCAAGGTGTTGTTGGAGGGACGCGCCGCCGCTTATGAGTCCACGTTGAAGCAATATCAGGCGAAAGCTGACTATTTTGCTTGCGCTTGTCTTCAGAAGAACGATGGATTCAATATCAATAAAACTCCCGGTAAGCCAATGTCCGATCGCCGGAAAAAAAAACTTGTTCTGTTTTAGTAGCTAATTCTCGCCGGGAAATTACTCAGGAGGGTTGATGTACGTCCGGGAATGGAACAATATGCAATACGCCTCCGCCGCTGCATTCCTCATGGCGGTCTACTCCGTCTACCTCTCCGACGCCAACGCTAAGCTCACTTGTCCCGACGGCGTCTTCGAGCCTAAAGAACTCCTCAACTTCGCGCAATCGCAGGCCGATTACATCCTCGGCAAAAACCCTAATTCCATCAGCTATTTAATTGGCTACGGATCGAAATTTCCCCAAAAACTCCACCACAGAGGCTCTTCAATCGATTCGATTTTCACCGATCCCTCTCCAATCGGCTGCGTTCAAGGCTTCGATTTCTGGTACCATCGTCCTCAAGGAAACCCTAATGTTCTTCACGGCGCTCTCGTCGGTGGTCCGGACAAGAACGATAGATTCGATGACGATCGATCTGAGTATGAACAAACAGAGCCTACTCTCACCGCTTGTGCTCCTCTGCTTGGCCTCTTCTCCAAATTGCAGAGCTCTGTTAATGGCTACCGTATTCCTGGTAAGTCAGATTAGGATTTGATTTTAGGGTTTCGTTTGTGTGAATTCCTTGGCTGATTTCATTTTCGTCTTTCGAAACAGGATCCCGGGGAAATCCACCGCCGGTGAAACCTGAAAAGGAATCGCCCAACGCAAATGCCCCTGTGCCAGTAGGTGAGCAAAAAATAGACGGATTAACAAATTCAATATTGTTCTTCGTGTTCTTCTTGTTCTTCAATAAGATCTTGTGATTCATTGCAGGGGCTCCAGTTGAATTCATCCACACAATAACAAGCACATGGATGGTGAGCAAGGATAGCTATTACAGGCACCAAGTGAAGATCAAGAACACATCAGGAAAGCCAATCTCCGATCTAAAACTGCGCCTCGAAAATCTCTCAGGCCCTGTTTGGGGACTGTCTCCAACACAACAAAAAGGAATTTACGAGCTTCCGCCATGGCTGAGATTGCTTCAGCCTGGCTCTGAGTGTGTCTTCATCTACATCCAGGAGGGTCCTCAGGCTAAGGTCACTGTTTCTAGCTACCATTAACGAACGCTGATTTTTCCTTCCAAATTGGCTTCACAAAAAAAAAAAAAAAAAAAAATCAACTAATACAAGTTCTTCATCGCAACGATGTGTTTTTAAATGATTTGGTATAGTGTGGGTTGATTTAAGGAGAAGTGTATTGGCTAGGATGGACCGGTAGTCTTGTAATATTCTCGATTTCAATTTGGAAAGCGTGTAAAAAACTATGTCATTTGACCTCGAAACTTGTTGAGGATTATTGAAAAAGAGTAGTCCCACGTTAATTAACGAAAAAAAAGTGTAAAAAACTATGTTATTTGACCTCGAAACTTGTTGAAGATTATTGAAAAGAGTAGTCCCACGTTAATTAACGGAAAAAAGTGTAAAAACTATGTTATTTGACCTCGAAACTTGTTGAGAATTATTGAAAATAGTAGTCCCACGTTAATTAACGAAAAGGAAGATTATTGATTTATAAGTAAGGAACATTGTTTCGATTGATACGAGGCTTTGAGAAACCAAAAGGAAAGCTATGAAAGC